CACTTAAACAATAAGCTTACCTTTCTCCGTTTTCTCTGGGTCGGCAGGACGTTTCAGTGAAGTGGAAAAATACGTTTCCTCCTCCAAAAAAGAGTCTATTGTAGCATTTTGTACATTAAAAATTTCCCATCCCAGCCGATGTACTTTGCTTTAGATGAGTTCTTTTTGCAACGAACTCAGCATTATACGCATATTAAAAATCTTGTCAACGCCCCTATAATAGCCTGCGCGCAGACGAAATTAAACTCTGGTTAACTCCGTCTGCGAAACAGCGCCGAAATCCTTGTTCTGGACTTCCAGCTGTGTACCCAGATTTGAGTACGCGCCACGATTGGCCAGTTAAAAAAGGCCTTTGTTTTGTTTGTCGTGATCGCCGATGAGGTTGAAGGGGAATTCGAAACGCACTTCCGGTAATTCGTTGAGACCGTTGGGGGTCCAGAACAAGGATCTCTGCGCTGCTTCGCAGACGGTACTAATCAGAGTTTAGTTATCGTCTGCACGCAGGCTACCCTATAAGTGCTATAGGCTAAGAGAAAGACATCACACTTTGTAAACCTTTACATGCCATCGCTTTGGCAGCCATCTTTGTTTACTCACGCGCGGTGAGGAGACTGACCACTACAAAATCAAACAGCCAATCAGTCTCCTTTGTTGGCGAATCGTGATGTTGCAACCTCGATCCCAGGGTTCTCTCCCACCCTTCCTGACAGGTAGAAGAGAGAACCTGGGAAAGAGGTTGCGTGATGTCGATGATATTACGCGTGTCATCGGTAGAAATGCTTCACAAAACACAGAATTTTGCACCTTTTGATCCCAAATGTTGATATAATGTGAGAAAAATCAATAAAGATAACTTACCGTATGTTTTTAGTCGCGTTCTACAAGTACGTTTTTGTGGCGTTTTCAAAAACATACGGTAAGTCATCTTTCTTTTTTCCTTCCTTCTTCAGTTTTCGCACATTACATCAATATTTGAGGTCAAAACTTGCAAAATCCTGTTTTAGTAAGCATTGCTACCGATCACTTGAATCAAGTCGGGAACAGGCGTTACGTTACGCCAGGAGCCGGCTTCTGGTTACGCACAGTAAATGTATCGATCACATGTCGAGTGTGACATCACGATGCCTCGAACAGTTCGAATGGTCTACCTGTGATATCAGGTTCCCACGCCACTCACTGAAATAATGAAAAATTCTTAGCGGAGCCTCGTCCCCAGGGCTTTTCTCTAAAAACATGGGAGGGGTGGGAAAAGGCCAATTTTTTAGGGAAAAGACCTGGGGACGAGCCTTGACAAGGCCCCTCAGCAACCTCTCCCTTTTTCTTTTCTTTAATATTTCCTCTTTCTTTGATTCTCTTCTGTCTCTTTACAACAAAGTAGCAATGGAATCGTGAAAGTATCAATGGCTAAAAAGGCTAAGTTCACACGAATTCGTTTCATGCAGTTGCAAAAGTTGCTCTAATTACAGTGTTCATTTTTTTTAGCATTACAAAAAGAAAAAAAAAACATCCCGTACAAGGGTAATGTACTACAATGCTCTTGTACAGTCTGTAATGAATTGGGTGCCTGCTTTTGGGATGAAGGGCTCATCGCTTATTACAATACCATAAGTACCATAAGTCTGTAATCATACGGGTGAATACAAAATCCGACGATCGCGTAGCAGGGGTCCGATTTGTTTAACCACGAATTGGGCGACACAAAGTTTTGTTATCAATTAACCATAACTTGAACTACATTTGTGATATATAAGGCTTTTTAAAAAATCAAAACACAACAAATTCCAAGATTTTGTTTTGCTAGCAGTGAAAAAAAAAAAAGCCATTTAAGCGCGCGCGTGATGGCGCGTACTGCATAATTACTTAGGCATGACGCATACTGTACCGTTGAACTGTCCTATTAAACCAATCAGATTTGAGAATTTTGTTATAGTTATGATTATATTATGAATAACTGGCTTTCACTGTCGCACCATTAAAAACGAAAAAGGAAAACATTCATTGGGTTAAGCCCAGAAGCTGGGAGATGAAAGAAGATAAAATATGCCAAAAATGTCCCCAAGATTCAGGTCCACTACGCGATTTTTCTCTTTCATGTGTAACACCAAGAGCCATAATGGTAATACAAATTTCTAGAGTTTTACTGCAAAGCAGGCGGATTTGTTTGTCGAGCCTGAGGAAACCAATACGCTGGCCAGAAACCAACAGAACCTTCTGTTTTTAGACTGCAGTGACGGATCCAGACCTTCAGATAGGAAGGGGGGGGGGAGTCATCCAGACTCTAAGGTAACTGGGGGGACGATCTCCAAAAAAATATTTTCTGTCCTTCAGGCCTCATTTTGGTCTAAAAATAACGGAGGGGTTGAACCCCCGGGCCCCCTCCCCTGAATCTGCCAGTGGACTGCTACTATAGTCCCTCAGGATTGTCGCACGGCGAGCATGTTACGTGCGAGCGAGTGCGTTTGCCTCGCGCGCTCGCAAGGATTATGCTTACCCGCGCGACAATCCTCAGGGACTGCTAATATTCCATCACAGACTTTTGAGGTTTCCTACGAAAGAGTGAATTCATCACTCGAGGAACTCATAAACATTCGAGAAACTCTTATAAGACCAGAACTGTTCAGATACTAAAATCTAAAAAGACAAGTCACTTTTAGCTTTATCGCCCACCACTTGCCAGAATGACGGGTTACGCTAAAGTTTTGAAGCTGCATACTCCTTCACCAAAGGAAGGACCCTTTCAAATTGAAAATTTGTAAAACTATGAATTAAGCTGCTTTCATATCTCATGAAAGACACTGGGACAGTAAAAACGCAGAAGAATTTAGATCAATTTTATAGACCGGAAGTTTGATACTCTCTAGTTCACACCAAGCAATACCATAATAATAAAAAGAGATCTTAAACGTTTCCAAAAAGAAAAGGGGAGAGGGTAAGAAATTCTGATGCCAGGCAGCGACGCCATTTTTTCCATTAACGTATTTGAGGTCAAGCCAATTCACGAGTATCAGGGGGATCCTGATTCCCTTTATTCAGGCTACTTTTTCGCGTTAGTCCCACATCACGCATTTATTTTCACCGCTTTCCCGGATCCCATTTTTTGTTTCCAAAAAACGTAGTTTAAAAAGACTAATTTTGCTATAATAGCTAACAAATGAAAGATTTAGATTGGCTCTTTACGATGCCAAGGTCATTCCATAAGAAAAATCGTTTTTTATATCTCAATACGACGAAAGAGCACTATTTTCGTTCTGCACGTGTGCGTACTGACATCCTCTAGTTACTATCGAATAGTCCAGCAACCCGTTTCCATGGTTAAGTGTGTCAAACGGCATGGCATTTCTCGGAATGTTGCATCCTATTGACATTAACGTTGTTTTCACACTAAAAACAACTTTAAGGGCTTGTTTACAGGTAGCAAAGGTGGGGGACCCCAGGTAGGTGAGGTAACCCGCTTGGGTGGCGTAACCCGCCTGTCCATATAATCTCTCATTTTAATTTGTTCACGTTTACATGATAGGTGGGGTGACCCGCCACATGTTACCTCACCTATCTGGGGTCCCCACCTCCATGTAAACAGGTCCTAAGAGTCCTCGATCTCTTCCTTGGTTTCTCACCTATCCTATGGGACTCCTGCGAAAGACAAGCAAATCCAGAATCTCCCAGCTGCTAGGGTGACGCATCACAGTCACAGAGAAATACCCAAGGAAAGAAGCCAGAAGTTCCAATGAATTGGCGCTTTGTTCCAAAGAACTTTGTTCCATGTGGTCTTTTAGAGAGTTTGAAGTGGTGGTATCTAGCACTGACCAGCAGCAGGCGCGTAGACATAGTGCTGAAATCGTTAAATTACTCGTGCCACAGGGCAAAAATGAAGCATTCAGAAGCAGACTCGGCTACCGGAATCTGCGACTGTACGAATGTGGAGGATTGATACAGATAAGCCGTACGTCCACTGGTGGAGAGCATTACTTTTGTTACCTGTTTTGTTGTGTCTTTCGTTTAGTTCGATATAGCAATTTAGATCCCTCTTGACGGGAAAACAAGTTGTATAACTCTTTCTGCTACTCATGCGTAGGAACCTTTTTTTAGCGTATGATGTTTGAGACGCAAATAATAAATAATAATAATAATTTAATATTTATATTGCGCAAAATACATGTAAATATGATCAAATGCGAATTACATGAAAGTAAATTATCGACATTAATAAGTTATCTAAAACAACTAAAAATATTATATTAAAAAAAAACAATGGATCTATAAAAATAATAATAATATATACATAATCCTAAAAAATCCTAATAAAAAGCTAATCTAAAAAAATGGGTGTTAAGTAAACCTTTAAACCTATGAAAATTGGGCTCATTTCGTATTTGTGATGGTAACCCATTCCACAGTTTAGGTGCCGCAGCTAAAAAAGCACGGTCACCCAATGTCTTTTTAGTTAAAGTTCTTGGCGTTTGAAGCACGATTCTCATTGTACACGATCTTAAATTGTATCTCTTTTCCTCACTTTTGCTAATGAGTTCTTGTAGATATACCGGAGCTTGTTCATGGATCGCTTTAAAAGTAATTATAATAATCTTAAAATGAATCCTAAATTCTACTGGAAGCCAATGAAGCATACACAGAATTGGTGACATGTGATAAAACCTTGGAATCTTAAAAATAAGTCTTGCTGCGGAATTCTGGAGCCGTTGTTACTTTGCTATTTGTTTAGCTGGTAACCCATAGAGAATACTATTACAATAGTCAATGCGCCCAATTATTAGGGCATGAACAAGTGTCTGGTTGCTTGGTTACTTAAATACTTTCTTATTCGTCTTACATTTGTAATGTAGTAATAGGCTGCTTTACACGTGTTATTGATATTAACTTGAAGACCTCATGTTACTAACTATCCATGTCCCTAAGTTCTTGACCGACTGAACAGGCGACACTTGAGCATCCCCTACTGCAAGCGAGTCAACATGAACCTTGGATAGTTGGCGACGGGTGCCTATTACTACAAACTCTGTTTTGCCACCATTGATCTTCAGTTTGTCACACAGCATCCAGGCTCTTATCTCATTTACACACCGTTCCATAGTAGCAATGGCATCATCGGTACTTGAGGCACAGCCAGGTTTAACCGCTAAATATAACTGCGTATCGTCTGCATAAGCATGAACGCTAGGCAGGTGTCTCTTGACAACTTCAAATTAAACAGTTTACTGGCATACAGAGTAAGCAGTAACGGCCCTATAAACAATACCCTTGAGGAACTTCTTGATTTAACTGTAGAGATTCCGAACACTTGTCACTTAGTGAGACACGCTGAGAACGCCCCGATAGGTATGACGCAAACCACTCCAGTGCTGTACCTCGGATCCCAAAACTTGTGCTCAGACGAGATAGTAACACAGAATGTTCCACTGTATCGAAGGCAGCACTCAGATCCAACAACACAAGCAGAACAACGTCCTGACGATTCATTGCCATTAATATATCATTATATATCTTGAGTAAGGCTGTTTCTGTGCTGTGACCTCGTCTATACGCAGTTTGCAACAAGGGGTAGAGGTCATGTTCAGAAAGGTGTGCGTGTACCTGGTCAAATACTGCACGCTCTACCAATTTCGACACATACTGCAGGTTACTAACTGGACGAAGATTAGTGAAGTCATTAATTCCAGCTTTTTTTGTAGCGAGGATCAATAAGGGCTTCTTTCCATACCTTCGGAAAGTGTCCCCCAAGTAGCGATGAATTGATCATCTTAGTTATAACAGGTAACAGATGATCAAGTGATTCTACTACAAGTTTAGTCGGCATGGGGTCTAGATTACACGTTTTCTTTGATGACTTCTGAATAAGTGCCAAAATGTCAGCTTCAGAGAGGGCTTGAACTCCGACAGTATCTTTGCATCACTGACTATAGGGTCATCTGGTATAGTATTCATATCAGCGATAACGGTGGAGTCTATTTGATCACGTATCCGCATTATCTTCCGCGCAAAGAATCGCACTATATCATTCACAAGTAAAGATTTATCATTATAATCAGGAAATGACAATGTGCTATCATTCTTTCCAAGCAGCGTCCTGGTGGCACGAAGTAACCTCCCCTGGTCACTATTATCCTCAACAAAGTCCGTGAAAAACGTACGTTTAGCCTCATTAAGGAGATGCGTCACGTGATTCCTCCGCTTCTTATAGCTGAAAATCAGTTTCCCGTTTTGTTTTCTTCCATTTTCTTTCTGCCTTTCTGCGTAAAAGCTTTGCCTTTTGTATGTCGTCATTGTACCAGGGTACACTAGGCCTTGACACAATGGTCTTCGTTTTAAGTGGCGAGAGTGATTCGATAACGCTAGCCAGAGTGGTGTTATAATTACAGGCAAGAGAATCCAGTTCGCAAGCACTGAGGATGTCTGGATGAGAATTGGAAAGAACATCCCTACATAACGATGACTCCCCCAAATCACACGAAAGGGCGGAGATATCAACAGACTTGGTACATGAAGTACATGAAGTACATGTAAATATATCCTTATCTTATATTTTTCAAACCCGAATGTCGGCAGTGAAGAATGATGATATGTGAATGTTGTCATGCGATCATAGCGCTTGCTCTCAACCAAGCTCTAGACTGACCGGATTAGAGCAAGTTATCTGATCTGATTTGTCGTTTATTGCTTCTTTGTAGCGGTATACCGTATTTATTCGAATAAGCGCCCAACCTCGAATTAGCGCCCATCTCGAATAAGCGCCCATCTTAAAGGCAGAAAAAGTTAATAAGCGCCCAGCCTCGAATAAGCGCCCACCCCTCCTCCTCCCAATCAAACTCAAATAAGCGCTCACCCCCACCCCACCCACTTGAGTGAATAAATTCTAATAAGAGACTTCCCCGAGGACGGAGATTTCTTCAGAGTATTTTACAGAAACATTGCTTTGTTACTTCTTCGAGTTTTGTTATTAGCATTTATTGTTTTGTTGCAAAATAAACATACTTCAAGTGCTGAAAACGGTGAAAATTTAATAAGCGCCCAGCCTCGTATAAGCGCTCACCTCGAATAAGCGCCCAGTCTCAAGGTCCAAAAATTTAATAAGCGCCCAGGGCGGTTAATCGAATAAATACGGTACTTCACTTAACGTACAAAACGCCCTTTGTGTAATAGCTCTAGACATATCTTTTTCGAGCACTGTGCCTTAGCGGGCCTTAATGGTAACTTTATTATTTAGATGATAGAGATAGCAGTTGATTGATAAACTGTCTAATGCAGGAGCCTATCAAATTTGATGGGCTCCTGTCTAATGCTAAAAGCAATATGGCAGTCACTGTGATGTCATGTATGACGTCATCATATCTTGACTACAACAATATCTCAGATACCTAGTAGTTTGAAATGTACTTTAAAACAATAAATCGTGTGTTTTCAAGATGGAATCAAAGGTTTGTTTACAAATCCAAGATGTCGACCAAAAGGAGGGTATGAGTGGTAAATTAAAATTCGATTTACAAAGTGAAAGCTACCGCTCTATCCTTGCTATCATGTATTTTTGTGATGTTTTTTAGTCCATGGGCAGAAACTGAGGACCGTATGGCCGCTAAACATGCGCATTACGGAACCTAATGGCCTTTAAAAATGTCTGACTCTAATAAGGATTTGTATGGCGAGTGAGAAATTCTTAAAAATTACATTGAACTGAAAAGGAATTTTATACCAGCGAGCATCGGCAGGATGAGGCCACTTTCTGCGATTTTTTGAGGTCCTTACTCATTTCCTCTCGGTTCCTCGGCAAATTACACCAGCGCCATATAATAGTCATATTGATCTCGCCATACAAACACTGCATATCAGCTAAAATTACCAACATTTAAGCGATTGTGCGCGAAGAGAAAGGTGCGGCCGAAAACCTGTGAGCATCGCGGTACAAACTTAGGCCAATTATCTTTCATTTTAAACCATTTCTACGGCAGCACAAAAACAAGAGCAGCACAAAACAAGAGTCCATCCTTTTTGAACATCAAAGTCGGGAAAGCTTACATGGAGTATATTATGATACGTAGGAAAACCACTGTTTTGCATAGATAGCAGCCCCCAATTCGGCTCCAATTCTACTTTTTATCTGGCTATGGCGCGATATCCGTGACAACCCGTGACAACAAGCGTGACTAGAACGTTTTTAACGGAAGAAAGCTTTTGGTGCTTTTAGATCGCCTTTAAAGATATAAAATATACTTCCAAGCTTGATTCTTTACTTTTAACAACAATTTTGTCATTTCTATGCCAATATTTTGAAAGAAATTGAAAACATGCATGAGCCCGCAAATCGACCGCTGGCTGTCTCTGATTTCGGCCCATGAAACATTAATATTGTACCAGTTTTGTTTTTTCCCCTTGAGTGTGCCATACAACCCCCCTAGTTGATGGACTATTTATCGTGAGTCAAGCACTGAGTTCCCATTGAGCCTTTAATTCGGTTTAGAGTGGAAACATTTTACGTCACAGTCGTCAAAACCGTAAAACAAACGAATCACTAATATTACATATTCACTTGTGCCCCACTTTTACATCATCTGAGCTGACAATGAAATAATATTACACTGTCAGGTCAGATGATGTAAAAATACTCAAATCGCGCTGAAACTTCGTAAAAACAAAGACAACGACTCCAGGTAAAAATATGATAACGTTTATCGCTTTTACTTAATTTATTTCATCTGAGTTTCAAACTCTCTATTTCCCATACAAACTCTCATATTACGCTTAGGCCACCTGTGATTTCTCTTACAAAGGAAAACGTATCGCTCCAGCTATTTGAAAGTGCAGGCGGTTTCATTTTGCAAAAAGGAAGGTTATCATTTCTGTATATATTGACAACTGCAATAACAATAGTATACTCGCCGCGATGTGTCAACTGAGCGAAAATAGCAATGCTAATTGTAGAGCTATTTCGAGAAACGTTGTCGGATAAAGTGCACGCGACAACCCCGAAAGGTATTGTGGGTGGTTTTTTTGGTCAATTAGTGGAGTTAGCGCTATATAAATTATGTTGTTATTATTATTATTATTATTATTATTATTATTATTATTATGTTTTGAGTTCACTGTTTTTCAAAGAAATTTGAAAGAATGTCTGCGGGTGCTAAAGGAAAGCAACAAAAGTAGGTTCGACAGCTACAGTGTCAGGAACAGTGTATTCAACATATCTCATATTACCTTTCGGGATTGTCGCGTGCACATTTTTTCCGACAACCTTTCTCGAAATAGCTGTATGAGTAGCCGTCTTGTCCTCCCTCTTGATCTTAGCGTTTGACTCAGTGACAATACTCCTGTCTCAGTTATGATAAAAACCTACAATAGAAATTAACACTGGTTAAATTACCGTTACCACATTTCGTACGCTTACTACGCTTGTGTGCTGTATTTGCTGCCGGCTTGCTACGTGCTACACTTGGTATATGCTTTTTTTTTAATTAATACTCGAACCAACTGGAGGTTGTTAGGCTCATAGCATCAAATGCAAATGCGTCACGTTGACAACCATAAAACTTAGCTTAAAAACATAATAATGAAGTAAATAAATAAATGAAAGGATTTTTACGACCGTATTTACACAAAAAGAATTTTTAAAATGCTAGATTATACTATTTGCCTGATATACAACTTATAAATCACTCTTAGTAGAACATAAATAACAATAGACCTTGTCACGGTTTTCGACGTCATCTTGACGAGTAGCCGGCAAACGTGTGAGAAATTACAGTGTTTGTATGAGAATCTAATGTCGAATACTTTCCGTAAAACTTCTGTTTTGAAAAAAATATGAATTGTAAACTAAAGCTACAAAGCAAAGGATTTTACAAGAAATCCAGAAGCTTCCTTTAGATTTTCGATATATTTGCTTGTAATTTTTCCCGGTACTTTCTTATAGACAAGTGTATAGAATATTTCAAAAGGTTATTCTAGGTCTTCTGGCGCATGTATCGCCCTCAATTTTTTTTTTCAGTAGAATCCTTAGGAGTGAAGCTTCAGTTTACAATTCATATTTTTTCAGAACAGCCGTTCTACGGAAATTATTCGACATTACTGTAATTTCTCACACGTTTACCTACTCGTCAAGATGGCGTCGAAAACCGTGACAAGGTGTGTTACAGTTATCGAAGGTCTTGTTTCGAATTTGGGACACAAAAATCCTAATGGTAGGAGCATTGCTTAAATCATCGTGCAAGGATTTCCAGATATTTGGCCCACTGGACGAAAAAACGGATTTGCCTAAGTTTGCTAGTTGAGCAAATCTATTGTAAATTTAGAGTACTAATGTTGCTACTTATTTGTTCTTGGTGCAAATTTTGTTCGAAAGTGAAAGTTTACTTTTCTGCAAAGGTGGCGTAAATGTGGAGTAAATATCAAGTTTACAGATATTTTGTTTCACTTTTGCTCCTCATAGTAAATGTGGTGTTTAGATTCAAATGTGCCGCCATTTTGTTCTCTGTGTAAAAATCGAACGTCAAAAATGAATGTTTGCTTGATATTTTCTGGCATAGCAAAGTTACTGTGTAAATTTATGGTTACTAGAGGCGTAAATTTAAGCAAAATATGATCAAAGAACTATCTTTACGACCACTTTAACCAACACTTGCACATTTACCAAACTTCACAGTGTTATTTCACGCAAGTTTTGTTTTTCCATTGCCCCGTTTCAATCACCATCACATTCTTCTTAAAGTTTATCATATTACTTGCTGCAGCTGGTTATTTCGGGTAAGGCCATCCCCCCTTTTTTTTCGTTTAGCGTCGAATGCGTTTCCTGAGATTGGGTCGGTGGCTCGGAAAAAAAAAATTCACAAGAAGTCACGGAATGGGAGGCCCTGACGAAAAACGTTACCATTTACAATTTGGGTGAACAAAATGCACAATATGTGAAAGGTTTGAACCCAGGAGTCATTTCAATAGTAGATTGCAGAGTTTCACCGTCCGGGTGAGTGTAGTCCTGAATGCACTCCATCGCAAGATCAGCCGCCATGTTTGTTGTTTCCCAGGCTTCCACGTGACTTTGGCACATGCGCGATTTGATTTACATTGTCACGTGCGGCTTCTGAACCAATAGAATAGTGTAAAATAAACTGTCGTTGAACAGTTCAAATTCACGCGGACTTCACAAGCAATACGGCGTTGCAAAACGAGTAGTGTTGTTATTTTCAGATAATAGAAATCCTGTCTTTCTATTCAGCTGTTCTATTACGATTTATACCTTTGTTATTTTCGAGAGACAGTGATCAGTTGCGATATTCTTCACATAAAGCCTGTTTCCAAGTCATCAACTCAGCTGGATTGCAGAAAGGTATGTTCTTCTTGATATCGTGGTTCGTTTACTTACTTTGGTTTTCTAATAACTTTGCGTAAGCTTAAAACCTCAAAGATAAATCTTAAAATTTAAGATGCATGCACAGATATGCCATTGATTGATTCCTTTTTGTTTACTGCAGAAATAACTGTACTCTTTGTTGCGCATCGTCTTCATTAATGGCATAATATATCTTAAGTAGCCAGATCTTGAGCTGTGCAGGCAAACATTTCTTTTACACCAATATAAGTCGGTGATGTGACCTTAGCATGTCCATAATTCAGTAATTTGGCTTGTTTTACAGCTGAGTTAATGTGTTAGATCTTTGGGGTTACTGTACTTTTCAGGTGACAGCACTTGACAAAGCAGTGGTCACTATAATTTATTATTTATGGAGGCGCACGATTCTAGTCAGGTTAGTAATCGCTTCCTATCTATCGATAGATCGCCATGTCACAATGTCTCCAGTACGGAGATTTCCTGAGAGTTTTTCTTATTTTGGGCAACATTTAAGAATACTAGTCTTGACAAACTTGTCGTGTATGTTCTCTTTTGTAGCCGAATCGTATTTACTGCACATGCAGCAGCACTTGCTCGACAAAAAGAACAAGTACTGAAGTGTCATGTGGGCAGGACTGTAAATGTGGGTCTCAGTCAAAGCCGTGTCGAAACAAGGTAATCTGTTCTCGAAAGGTTGATAAAATGTTGGATCTATTGTTGATTTTTATACAAATTTCTTGAAAGAGGTGCAAATTTGCAATCTTTGGAGAGAAAACGTTTGTTGTTTTAGCAAAGGAAATGTGCTGTAATCCCCACGATCTGTCCTGCAGAATTATTATGAGGTCCTGTACTGTGTTAATATATTTTTGGATAAATGCTCACCGATTGTTTTTTTTTTTTTTATGGCAGTATACCTTGTCAGTCTACATTTTAGTGTCACACTTCTCCTCTACAAATGTAGTCATTATACTGAACAAAAATATACACTATTGTTTGTTTTCCTGATATTTTACCTCTCTTTGACAGGACTGTATTCAAACTTTGGATGAGCCAATGGTGCACAAACTGTGTGTCAGAAGTCTACAATGTGGATTAGGGAGCATGGACTACATACATAGTCTGCTAATTATGGACGATGACAATGATAGTGACACTGAGAGTGAGCATTTTGATGTGTACAGAGAAACCCCACAGGAGTCTGAATCCACTGATAGCCAACATGCTTCAGCAGTTGCGGGACCAGCACCTAACCCTTCTGCTGCATCAAACTCACTTCCCTAGTGTAAATGTAGTTTTTGTATTGTTGTGGTCAGAGAAGATGTGTTACAACATTTGCAAGGTTCAGCAAGCTTTGTCTCGACCCAGATGTGTTAGAAATCGAGCAGCAGCACAGTGATGATAACAGTACAAGGGCCTTCAGGAAGGCTGCATACAGGCAATTTCTTCTTGATCGTTATGGACATCTAGGGAAGGGTAACAGAAAGGTCTGTCCTTCGTGTGTGGTCAAAACTGTGCGCAGACATTATCCTTCGCAGACAGGTGTGTACATGGGGTACAGACCCGAATGAGACAACCACCATGGAACTGTGTTCTGCATCTCACGAGAATAGCTAGACTTGTATTTCCCCAGTTTGTTCTTTCTCTAGTTCTTCAGAACTTTATTATAATATTTTGTTATTTCTAAGTCATGAACGGAGTCGGCAACCATCTTTTTCATGTTTCCATAACATATCCATTTTCACCCCAAGAAAGGTCAATAATAGGCTTATTTCATGTGGAGGGTGGTTGTAAAGGCCAAATTTTGAAAAGAGAGTAGGGGGAAAACCTAAAAACCTTCACTCAGGGGATTATAGATTATTTTTCTTCATCCACTCCTTTAGTTTGTTACAATGTTATGCTTTTATTGTAAGACATTTACATCATTTTGTGAAGTAAAGAAATCAAAGTGTTACATCAGCATGAATTTCAGACGATTGCTGAGAGGAGATGACTCGAAGTAATCGTCTGAAATTCAGGTTAAGTTATGATTTACAAAATTTGCAATCAACTTAGTTGTGGTTGTTTCATGAACTGATTTCAAAAATAACAATGCAATGAAATTGTTGTTAGAAAATGTCATCTACAATGGAGGTCAAAAGTGTTGGGACCTTTTCAGTGATATTAGTAAAACTAGCAAACCCTCTCCCCTCCCACCCCAAATAAAGTTGAATTTTGTGCAAATGGGTGGAATTCACTGCTTTATTTGGCCACAACATTGCTGGGGGGGGGGGATGACGGAATTAGCCCAAAGCTGATCAAAAAATTGTCATTAGGAGCAGAGTCCTATGTAACAGTTACTTGGAAGGGCTTTTTCACACAGTCCCAAGTTCTTTTCTCCTTCATTGTAGTTCTCTGTACTATAATACAGTAGCCTGCAAAGAAAGTAGTGTCCCATAGCCCAGGGCCTATGGGTAAGTCAAGTTTTTTGAGGAATTCACATGACAGAATAACAGTGTTAAATCAATTCTGCTCACCAAAAGTGTTGGGGCTAGTTGAAATGACATCTGGGCTACTAAATGCTACCTTCAGCTTCCCCGAAGCTGTGAAACTGACTTTCTTTGCACTCTGTACATGTACGTAAAGTATGCAAACATTATTTGTACCATTTTATTTCGTACATCTAAACTTGTTGGTGTTAATAAGGACTGTTAAGTCAGTGACTGACTTAAACATCTGTAGTGGCCGAGCCACTCAGGCTATCCTCGGTGCAAAATTGCAATCACATAATCATTCATTTTAACATACCCCCCAACACAAAAGAAAAATTAATAACCTTTCAACTTATAAATAAACATGAACAAATTACCCATTATCAGCAATTACAGCAAAGTGAGCAAGACGATTGAAAAAGACACATTTCAGCCTTTAGGGCAATATCCTACTGATGAAAAGTTCCAACTTAGTTTTAGATATTTTGAGCAACAACAATTTTCCGTCTGTCCTCTTTGAATTTTTATTACTACTTGAGGAATTCTCTGAATGATCTTCAGTACCAGATTGAAATCTGCTCTTACGTGCCATAAAAAGTTCCTTTGAAGGGGGTGCCTGTTTTTCAGCGATGGTGAGAGCCAGCAAAGCAGGGTCGCTTTCATTCAAAGACAGCTGCCTCGTAACACTATCAGTATCTTCTTTTCTCATGTTAAAAATCTTCACCATCATCACTGGAATGTACTCAAACTTTTTCTTGACTGTGATAATTTTCACGTCCCAATCATTTGTTCGCTGATTGTACTTTCTGGTTACTATCTGCTCTCCTGCTTTTGTTGTAGCTGCTTCAAGGTTCATATGGAAATTCCAATAAATGGCTGCAAGCTGTTTGCATGCTTTGTGACCTTTGTTACTGTAACACAAGTATGATAACAAAAAGATTACTATTCACAGTCCCTTTATTATGTTTGTTTCATAATCTGCATTGTAAAATCAGTCTCAATAAAAGTCGTTTCAAATTTTGGAAATCCTTCCCTTTATTGCTGAGTAGTAAGTGCAGCTGAATCCCAATCTGGTAGGTTAGGTTCTAGACTTGATCTTACCAGTCACTGGTTTTGAACCATAAAACTGCCATGCTTTAATAGCTAGCTGGTTGCAGCATGCTAGGTGGGATTCTTTCTTGTCATGTTTACATGTACATTGTCTATATATTATTATTAGTTCAACTGGATCAAAAAGGTCTCGCATGACATTTGACGAAGTGTCAAATTTTCCTCGTTTCACAGGCGTTAACATAATAAACAAACCTGTAAGAGTATCGTTTTGAAGTATAAACCAGGGAAAGGCTGTTGGCACACTTGAGTTTGCCTGTGTGTCTGCAATCAAAGGTAAAAGAACCACTAACCATGAAAAATTTATTGTAATATAATGCATGCAAGGCATTATTGCCATGGAAATGAATGGAAATGCTACTAGGATTAGCATGCAGTCTCCTTTTTAATGACCAATTTCTATTCTCCAAGTAACTGCAAAGAACTGTGATACATTGTATGACTCAATAAAAGTCTCCAGAGACACCACAGGAACTGCAATAAATTATGAAAAACTGGAAAAACAATGTGCATTATCTTGGATGACTCTGGTCAATGCTTAATTAAAAATTGATCAATAAATGAATCAATCAAAAATTTATCAATCAATGAATATATTAAAAATTAAAATTAAAAATATTAAAAATTAAAATTAAAAAAAAAAAATACCAACATGCCAAGAACTGGTTTTATTTAGTTGGTAGTAATATCCTAAGTAAATAAGCTCCCACATCTTGAGAGCCAAAGATTAGACATAAGGGTTGCCTCTCAGCCAGTGTCACATTTATTGGCAAGAATGTTGTCTCAATAACTAATAATTTCTCAGGAAAAACAATCATTACCAAGGTTTGGTATTTTACCTGAATCGCACGTAATATTTAAAACTGTTAAGAAGCTTTGGTTCCAGGATAATTTTCTGGAGGGCCGCAAAATAATAGTAATGTGAAGACATTTATTCAATCTAGAATCAAGTACAGCTGCAGTCTCACCTTCAATGTGGCTTCGTTTTGAGGAAGGAACTGGTTTGTGGATGATGCCTCTCTCACTCCTTTTTTACAAACGGTAGATGCACTATCCCTGTAAAAGAAAATAGATACATACATTCAAAACAACTGATTAACTCAAAATAAGACCGCCAGCAAACAGATTGAACAGACATTTTACGCATTTACCTTCTTCTTGTCTCGAGCGATAGAAGATGGGCAGCAAACATGGAATCGTTGTCGTATCCGCACTTGATCCTCGTAGAAACCCAAGATTAGAAAAGTGTTCCATCCAACGAAATCCTTTTACGAGTCTTACGCCAGAACTGAAGCCTCGCTGAGTTGCTAGCGAAGATTTTCTTGCGGCCGCTTCCTGATCGGCGACCGCCATGAGAGGACATTTGTTACCTCCAAACAGTTGACCTCAAATAAGCCGTTGATCAGAGTCATTGAAACAAAAACACACAGGAACCTTCTAAAAGGGCTGTACAATAGTAACTAACGTTTAACTATGCGAACTGTTAACGGATGGCTGCGATAAATATTGATAAACTCCTGATATTGAATCACCCGCAGAACTTGAAAAAGTTGGCGAACGTTTTCAAGATGTAACGCTTCATCGCGCACATGCGCAGTGTGTGACATAGCTCCTTTAAATGACAAATGATTCTTATTTCATAAATTGTACCATCCAAAACTCTTATGGTTTATACATATGGTTCAGTGATACTGTGAGATCTTAATTTTGGCTCATTTTGCGAGTGACGGCACTTGCCAGATCTTGAAGCCTACAGTATGTGTCATTCTGAGTGACCACCGTATTATTGTTCCACATTTAAATGACAATTGATTCTTCTTTCATAAATTGTACCATCCAAAACTCTTATGGTTTATACATATGGTTCAGTGATATTGTGAGATCTTAATTTTGGTTCATTTTGCGAGTGACGGCATTTTTTTCATTTTCGAGTGAAGCCTCTGTGTCATTCTGAGTGACCACCGTATTATTGTTCCACATTTAAATAACAAGTGATTCTTCTTTCATAAATTGTACCATCCAAAACTCTTATGGTTTATACATATGGTTCAGTGATACTGTGAGATCTTAATTTTGGCTCATTTTGCGAGTGACGGCATATGCCGGATCTTGAAGCCTATGTGTCATTCTGAGTGACCACCGTATTATTGTTCCACATTTAAATGACAAGTGATTCTTCTTTCATAAATTGTACCATCCAAAACTCTTATGGTTTATACATATGGTTCAGTGATATTGTGAGATCTTAATTTTGGTTCATTTTGCGAGTGACGGGGTATGCTAGATCTTGAAGCCTATGTGTCATTCTGAGTGACCACCGTATTATTGTTCCACATTTAAATGACAAGTGATTCTTCTTTCATAAATTGTACCATCCAAAACTCTTATGCTGTATAAATATAGTTCAGTGATATTGTGAGATCTTAATTTTGGCTCATTTTGCGAATGACGGCACTTGCCAGATCTTGAAGCATAAGTGTCATTCCAAGTGACCACTGTATTACTGTTCCACATTTTAAATGACAATACCTCATTATTTATACCTTTTGTACAGTTCAATGATGTTGAGGAATCTTTGTTAGT